AGAGAGAGAGAGAGAGAGAGAGAGAGAGAGAGAGAGAGAGAGAGAGAGAGAAGGGGGGAGAAGAAAAAGGAAAAAAGAGAGAATGTTGAGTAGAGAGAGAGGGAGGAGAAAGAGCGCGCGCGCACACACACACACACACACACACACACACACACACACACACACACACACACACACACACACACACACACACACACACACTCAACAAGCGCGCACACACACTCAACAAGCGCACACACACACTCACACACGCACACAAGCGCGCGCACACACGCACAAGCGCGCACACACACACGCACACCGCAAGCAGTCGGCGATGAAACCCTCAGCGAGCCCGCGATGTCCCACGGCGAGATCTAGTTAAGTGGCGAGGGAAACCCCGCGCAACGCCAAAAATAGATGGCGAAATACGTCTCTATATTTCAGCCAATCACAGAGATGTGCTACATGCTCGCTGTTGCCTAGCTTCAGCGGTTATTTATAGCACACCAATGACCCTTGTCCAGCGGGGTCAAGGATGTGGCTTGAGGTGGACGCTAACAACAGTGAGACAGCAGAAAGTAAGGTTGCTGAAAAGTGCTCTGTGTACTCAGTCACTCAATGGTATACGCGGATACCTAACCTGGCTCTACAAACTGCTGAATGCTGCTGATAACGCGTTGTACTTGTGCGACGGAGCCCTGTGTTGGTCTGATTGATTTTTACGCGTGGCAGTAGTGGCAGGTTCAGTCAGAATACTACAATAGCGGTGCTGTGTACATGTATATGATTTCAAGGCAGGTCTGCGGCGGTGCTGTGTTATTTTTATTTCAAGGGCAGCTCCAAAGCGGTGCTGTGTTTTATCTCAAGGGCAGCTCTAAAGGTGTGCTTTGCTTCTTTTCCTATCAAAGACGGGTACGTACTACAGCCGTGCTGTGTGTTTTATATCAAGGGCAGATGTAGGCTATTAAAGCGGTGCTGTGTAGGCTTGGCGTCAGAATCACTCTTCCTCGGAGCAACCATTTAGGCCAGCTTAGTTTAGGCTACGACTACATGTATAAATGGTAGTGATGGGCAGGTATCGATATCAGGTACTCGATACTTAGATACCTACAAAGAGTCTACATTTACTTTCTTTGATACCTACAATGATAGTAATATACTATCTTTGATACCTATAGGTATCGGTATCGGTACCGATACCTGCTCTAAACATCGATACCTAAGTGTGATTTATCCCCGGGCTGCCAAAGCAAGTGACTTGGGCCTTGAGAATTTTTTGTTTATCAAAACTGATAAGTTTTCGTAGGGGGGGGGGGGGGGGGCAAGCGTATTAAATGCATCTAGTTATTTTTTAACAAAAAGAGAAGTTTTTCATGAAATGTATATAGTGATATTGCAAAATCCTCACTGACAACCCTGATTTATCCTCATTGGTTTAATTTAAAGTTGCTAAAAATCTGGTAAATTGAATTGCCTTTTTAGAACTCTTGTGTTTTTATTTTCCAATACTAACATTTTCTGCAAAGTTGACTTTCCTCCCATACTTCACTTAGTTGTTGTTTTTATTCTCATATTTGGGTATTTCTCTCTCTCTCTCTCTCTCTCTCTCTCTCTCTCTCTCTCTCTCTCTCTCTTTTACAAATAATTTTTGTTTGAGTCTCAGCTAAATAGTCAGAACTTGTCTAGACACGATTGCCTAACTACTTGGAAAAGTATAGTTGTATTTTTGTCTTTACTTATTACCCCCGGCTTATGTTACTAATAGTATTAGGTATCGAGGTATCGGTATCGATATCTTGAAAAAGTACTAGGTATCGACATCGATACCAAAATTGTGGTATCGGCCCATCACTAATAAGTGGTTTACAAACTCTTGAGTGTGTTTTAACCAGTTCAACGAAGCTCTGTTTATTTATTTTTTGAAGCTGGTTAGGTCTAAATATAACGGCTAGACCGACTGAACTGTGAAGGTTCTTTCTACTACCAGGATTTACTAATAATAAGTTGTGGACAAGTCAGGTAGGTTCATATATTATTATTATTATTATTATTAGTGTTATTATTATTATTATTATTATTATTATTATTATTATTATTATTATATTGTAGGACTGCATTTTTATAGAGAGTTTCAGGTTGGCATAGGCAGGTTCTTCCTTTGCAGTTGTCTAATAACTATTTTTACTGCCTCTGCCTCTTTTGAATTCAACAGAGGCGCTTTGTTTGTTAGCTCAGTTGGTAACGTGAGTGTGTGTGTGTGTTTATGTGTGTGTATGTATGTATGTGTGAGTGTGTATGTGTGTGTGTATGTGTGTGTGTGTGTTGTGTATGTGTGTGTGTGTGTGTGTTTTGGGGGGGGGATCATCGTGGGATTTTTTATTCGTTTTTATTTTGTTTTTTATTTACTTGTCTGCTTTAGACTGTTGTTGTTTTTTTTTGTGTTGCAGTCTTTAAAAAAAGTGTTATGTTTTCTGAACGAACAAAAAAAAGGGGGGGGGTGTGGC